CCGTAAGGGAAAAAAATTCTCCAACACCAACTCTGTCCTTTCTTCACATGTGGGGGCACACACAGGCCCACGAAAAATAACAGAACATTTAGTAAAAAAGGATAGTTTTTTTTCAAAGCCCCTCTCAAAAGCAAAGAGGAAATACGAACCAGCATTTTCGACAATCCTTATTCTAGGATGGCAACCAAAAACAAAATTCCTTTAAGAAAAGGTTATTTAACCTATCAAGAAAAAAAGGACTATTAAACAACTATATGATAAGTATGGAGAAGTAAGTGCTAGGCTAGGACAAAAAGTGGGTGAATATTTTACTAGCATGCTCGATTTTGATTTGAAAAACAAAACAGAATGAAAGCATGGTCATTCAAAATACCTAATTTTTGGTAGAGAACGACAACTTCCTAGAAATTTTGAAGCCTTTGCAGAATATATTAATGTTTGTCCGACTGACACTAAGCATGGAGGTCATATAATTGTTCTCTCGTGTTGCCCCTTGCCCAATTTGAATATCAACCATTATTGTAATATTGATTTCTCAAAGTTAAATGTTGGAAGTCTCCGTAGTAGTAGAGAACATGCAGTCATTAAATCACCAGAAAAAAAATTTAGAGATGTGAAAGGAAGAAAAGTCTTTCTCAAAGTAAGGTGCAACTCTGGCAAAACATGCTTGCAGCAGTTGACTGAAATATTAAACAAGTTCTACTTTATTTTGGAAAAAGGTGGGATAAAGAAAAAGTCAAAAAAAAAAAAAAATTAAAACTCCCAAAAAAAACAACTCGAAAAGCAAACTCGACAATTCCAATTACCCAAGAGAAATTTTTTGTTGTGTCTGCTAAAATATTGTTTTCTAATCCTTTGCCAAGCAGAAATGCAGGAGGGTATACACCTTACCAAGTCCACTACCAAGAACAACAACAAAAAAAATGATTTATAATAAATACTTACCAAAAAAGCCAAGAACGGGTATTGAAATTGTTCAAACCTGGTAGCAATCATAAGATAGAATTGTTAAAGGGAAAGCATCTAACCGTATTTTACAACAGATTATTACCTCCCAATTCTTTGATGATTTAGAAACTTGTATACTAAAATTATAATATAGATAACAAGTGAAAGTGGAAAATGAAAAGATGAACTAGAATTAGGAAAAGGTTAAAGTAGATTTAACGATGGCTTTTAAAGGTTTTCTTTCATTCTGATAATTTACCATTAATCCTCTAATTGCCTCTAAGGAAATCCAATTAGTTAGTCCCAGCGTAGTTCGAACTATCCAAGAAGGAGGCGAAATTAGCGAAGATTTGAAAAAAGCAAAATACATTTTCTTTCCCATAAATAATTCAGAAAATCATGGGACGGCTGACACTGGAAGCCACTGGACTTTGTTCGTTTTTGCAGGCGGTGAATTAGGCTATTTTTTATTATTAAATTGATTTGACATAACTTTTAATTTCTTAGGTTTTTTAATTTTTATTTTTAGAGATTTTATGTCCTCATTCTATTTTTTTATCTCAATTATCAACATTTGCCATCATCCTTTAATTAGTTTAATTAGATTTTAGATTTAGAAGAAGCCGAAGCATTAGCGAGGAGTCAGACGCTAGAAAGAAAAATATTATTGGTTAGTATAACAATTTGTAAAATCTATTAATGAGATATAAGGACTTATTAAACACTAATGACATCCTTCATTTATTAACTAAGCAACTAAACCTTAATTTGAAACAAATGGGACGGAGTGTTTTTTTTCTCTGCCCTTTTCATCAGGATAAAAACCCCAGTTGTAGTTTTGAACCTAATCGTAAAATATTTACTTGCTTTACTTGTGGCTTTAAAGCCAGTGATATATTTAACTTTTGAGCCCAGTATAAGAAGATCAGCCGGGAAGAAGCCGTGGAGGAAATTGGTCGAATGGGTTATTTTTCTCTATCAATTTTGCAAGAGAAGAAAAAACAAGAACAGAAAGATAAAAACAAAACCTTTTATTTACTTTCACTAACAACTGATATTTATCAGCATAATTTACTGACCCAACCGGGTCGAGAAGTATTGAATTATCTCCACAATGAACGGAAAATAGATAAAGTAGTAATTGACCGTTTTGGTTTAGGATGTAGCATCAACAATTGACAACTAAGTAATTTGCTTTTTTCGCAAAAAAATGATAACTTTTCCTCCGAAGATTTATTAGCCACCAATCTGGTTTGAATAACTGAAAATAACCGAACTTGTGATTTTTTTCCCGCCCAGCACCTAATTATACCCTTAACCAATCCGGAAGGAAAAATAGTGGCTTTTGCGGCCCGCAAAGTTGGTGAAATACCAACCGGAGAGGGAAAATACAAATACTTACCCAGTTATCAATATTATCAAAAATCCTCCTTGTTATATAATTATCCAGTAGCGAAAAAAAGTCGATCCGAGGAATGTTATTTAGTCGAAGGATTTTTTGATGTCATTAGTTTAGCCAAATTAGGGGTGGAAAATTGTCTGGCTCTACTGGGAACCAACTTATCGGAAGAGCAAACCAAACTTTTAGCCGAACTAAAGAAGCGAATTATTCTTTTTTTAGATAGTGATAAGGCTGGGCAGGAAGCCACTATTAATACGGCCGTAAAATTACTGTTGCGA